CCAGTAGACTGTCTCCGGCTCAGATCATCTCACTGAAGCTCCACCAAGGATTGAAGACAGCATCCGTGAAGTGATGAGTACCCTTCACCATGTTACACGTCAATATTTTCAAGTTTTATGATTAGGCCTATATTTGAGTTGTAAAGTAGGAAAGTATGGACTTTGGAGAGGACAAGAAGTTTTAGGGGAAATTTTTATATAAGGTTTGATCGATCAATGAAAGGGGAGGGTAAAATTAAAAGGGGAGGGGGGTTAGTAATGGTTGTAAAGTTTATTTTAGTTTATGTGAAGTAGATAGTTTTTGTTTATTTTCTAAGGTTTAACATACTGAACATTTGTTAGTTTTAAGATTTTGCTTCATTATATTGGATTTTTACTGGAATAATAAGACTTCTTATTTCAGCATGCCCTTCTTGCCTCCTTTCACAGCACGTTACACTTGATTTTAAATTTAAGACACTTAGGTGTGTCACAGCTTTACCCCCGCTTTGCATACCTCTGTGATGTTAAGGTTTATTTATTTATTTGTTAACTGATACAACATTTTACAGGTTTCTGTGTGACAACTAACTAAAAAAACTGGTGACAACAAGATTTCAAGAACAATACATGGTTTGTTTAAAACTGCCACTAAAAGCAGTGTGAGACGGACCGAAGCTAGATATGGATTATACAGGAAATTTTAAAGTTGGGTACTATATATAAGTCTGGCTGTTTGTTATGTGTTACAAACAAATTATTGGAACATGTACATTCGGAAATATGTTTTAATTATATAAATTATAGGAACCTAATAACATTTATTTTTACCAAATAAAAGCTACGTTCGTTTCAAATAAATCTGGAACTGTTGTCGATAAAGTCAAACTCATAAACTCTGACTTTTATAAACCAATCACGATAACTTATACAGTATATTGAATTCAGTAAATTGCATTTCTTATCTCAATCTATTTTCAATAAAGCACTATTTAATTGAAATTCTATTTTTAACGTAGTATACATGAAACATAATCCCAAATAAACATTGTTTAGATAGAAAACTCGTTAGTATGTTTACATATTTACTTCACGATATGCATAGCCCTTTAGATGTATATTTTTCTTTGTACCTATATTTATATTGTGTTCAACAATCAAAACTGATAATATAAAATTGAGGTAGCTAATTTACACTTTGATTGAGCACGACCAACCGGAGTCTCCTACGATACAGGGCGCTGCGAGACACAAGTGGCAACACTGCATTTCAGGCCTACCGAAACATCTATTATACTAATTTGTACTTCTGCGCAATGTTACGAGTTAGTTACTACTGTTATGGCGATAGGCCGGCCGGTGCGACGTTGCCACACATACCTTTTATGACAGAAGGATATGGTACATCGGACTGCTAAAAAAATTGTTGTTACGGCGAGCAATATAATTTTTTACTGAGTTACGATTTCATCAGCTGAATTCAAAATTACATTTGATGAAACAAAGAAACCAAACACCACAATTACAAATAAAAGTTATAGATTGCTTACAAAATTAACCGTAACTTAAATTCTGTATTGTAGGCGATCTTTGGCAATTCGTGTGCAAATTGTTGCGTAAATTATCACATGTAATGTTAATTATCAACGATGTAGGCTATTACATTTTATGTTTTCAGAAAGCAATATTTATTGTATTTTAATTTAACGTCAATAACAATTTTTGTTTAGACTGGTGGAAGTGAAATAGACCCCTCCAAAGTTATAAGCTCCAGCTTCAACTAAAACTTCAATTAAGTCAATTAAGGAGTTTAACTAGCACAATTCATATGGTTTGGTAACCCAGAATTATTGGGTAACTACAGTTATAACCAAATTGTAGCAAAATAATAGTTATTATTGTCAATAACCATTTTGTAATCATATACATTAAGTTATGATTAGTTAAATGGTTTTACGTGGCAGTTTTGTTTTCGTTGTATTACTAATCTAAAACTGTAACCTTTTTATGGTTTAGCAAAAAAATGAAAGAATTAAAAAAAATATCTAATACGACTTAGAATACCAAAAACAGGCAATAACACAATCTTAGTTCATATAATTTTACGATATAAATAAACGATGTACAGTATTAATATTTACATGTAGCATACTATCTTGAGTTAGGGAGCGAGCTGGTCTAGTGGTTACAGCGCAGGACTTCAGTCCCATTGTCCCGGGTTCAAATCGCGCCAAATCACAAATGGATTTTATCTAAGTGATAATTGCCGCAACCCCTAGGTATAGCCTGAAGTAATGTGAAAAACAATTCCGGGATCGTGCCTAGCGTCCAAGGAAAAATACTATCTTGAGTATATAGAGAATTAAAAAAAAAAACTAAGAACGGCGGCATTCTGGGTTATGACAACCTGTTTAAACAACACGCAAAATATAGTACATTTGTGAAAAAATAGTCGAATTCAAACCTTTTATTGATAAGAAAAGATGTTTGGGATAATATCAAGAGCTGGAAGCAGAGTCAATGACTCTGTCGTGTATTGATGGATATCCGAATGTCCTTAGAAGGCAGGTCAATAGCGCATCCTGAGGGCCTTATGCTGAAGAGTCAATCTCAAGAATATCTGTTATTGATCCAAGCAAGCAAACCTACCCTTAGCCTATTGATGTCTGTGATTGATTATTTCAAACCTATTATATGTCATACAGACTATAGATGCTTGTAGCTGTTATTAATGTATCTTTGGTCAAACCATACTAAGAAACGATATTTGGTAATTTGAACTAAGCATTATGACTTAAGGGTGTTGTTATATCACATTATATGTCAGTTTAACCAAGCTCAATACACTATCCGTTTATGATTTTATTTTAACGGCATCACTGGGAAAACATACTTGGTTGAGTTCTTTAAAGGGTTGGATTATTTAAGTTACAGAACCTTACTTTGTAGAACTTGTTCTTGCAGAAATTCTGTGTTTTCTCAAATAAATTCCACAACAGTGTGAACAACATCTTCAGGGAGCATATTCTTATTTACACTGAACTATGCGGCATAACTTCATTAAGCTTTAGTGGGACATTCTCACTAGGGTGCGAATGGTCGTGTCGTGGAAATAAATTGGAGTAAACACAAGAATTTTTTGCAAAAACAAAGTTTACAAAAATGTACTGGAACATAAATAATTACATTATACAGTTCTTGCCACTGTTAATAGTAAAACAAATTCTACCAAGAGTACTTTAAAACTTTGTTAATTTAAACTGATCCGTCTATTGCTCTTTATAAACTATAAGATTAACCAATTTAATTCCAGTCAATTGCTAAAACTTCTTTTCAGCGGGTGCTAGCCAGAACTTTTTCATCATGTGATTTTTAGGGTCAGAATGAAAAACTTTGGTATACGATCCAACAGTATGAAGCGAGTAAGGCGAACTTTCCTTGGGAGCAAAACCCATTCGGACTTAGGTAGACGCAATTATTATAAGTTTAAATTACCAGGTGTGGAACATAGTTTCAAACTATCTAGTACACTGCTATGGCAGTTATCTTCAATATTTATCTAGAGAATTGCAAAACACGTTGCAAGACTTAGTTGTTAATTACTCTATTAACCCTTAGTTGGAATATGTTATTAATAAAATAAAATAATTACCTCATCCAACCACAGTTGTCTGTATGACAAATAGTTTTGTTCCTTAGAACTTTGTCAGGTAATTTCGTATGCAACCACATCATCAATGTACTAATACATTCTTGTATGTCAATAGATTCTTAAAAACACTGCCTTAAACACTGCACTTAAAAATAGTTAAAATGGAATAAAAATTGAAGAAACTGATCAAAACTGAACAGGCTGACCTTATCACTGCCACTGACTAAATAAAACTGACTGAATCATGATGTTTCTTCTTCTCTTCAGTGCCACCTGTATTTCAGTTTGTTTTGTTCTTCTTATTTTATACTTCTTTGATTTGTAACTTCATGATATACGTATCAAATATATTATGACTGGAAAGAAGACAATTTAAAATGTAGCCTAATAAAATGTAGCAGTTTGGTTAATTTTTTAGCTCCTTGAGTTGTCCCCTATGAGTTTTAACTTTTATTTAATCGGGTTTTATTCTTTTTAAACCTTTAACTTCATGAACACAATATACCACTTAGTATTCTGTCCTAACACTTGAAAATGACAAAATTAATTCATGATTCGTATTTCATAAATCATTTATTTCTCTGTGGATAATCTAGTTTAGAACCTCAGCCAGTCTGTTATGTGCAATATGGGGAACCCCGTAAATATTTTAGCAGAACACCCACGAATACTAGAATTCTAGAAAAGACCCGGTATGGATCACAAACCTAAACAAATGACGTTTTTGGCCCGAAAATAAACATTATTTAACATTGCTTAAATGGAACTGCCAAAACATATGTTATGCAATTAGTATAGGATTCGGGCCAACAACGTCATTTGTTTATGTTTATGATCCATACCGGTTTTTTTCTAGGATTTGTGAGAATACCCAATCAGAAAACCAATGTTTTTGCTGTGCAATTCCTATTTTAGATGGAAAGACGAAAAACTACAATCTAACATTACATCCCCACAAACAATTGACGGCGGATTTTATAGTCAATCATCAGAAAGCACCTGAACTTTCATTGGTGAGTTGACATTGGTAGCGCGACGGTCTATACTCTGTATGGATAAATCTGTCTCCTGGCCCTTCGCCAGGACCTAGGAACCGGAGGGTCAGGAGACTAGATCCATCATACAGAGTATACAAATTCATGACAAAAATGTTGTGGTTCAACGTCCTGGTTCACATTCCTAAATTTCTTCAATAACATTTCACTCTTGCACTACTGTCCGACCTCTTGCTGGATATACTCCAATCACAGGCTCGAGGCCAATTTCAACGGGCAAATACAAGGTTAAAAGAGGCCACCTATCTCTAAAGACCAACATTGAAGATTATCTACCAGTTTATCCTTTCTCCTTATTTCTCCTGCAGACTCACCTTTCCGATGCTTCTCAGAGAGCAGGTCTGTGTGGGACTCCGACGCTAAGGTTTCTGTCGCTTCCGCGTCGTCTTCCCCTGGCCCTCCAACTGACAGCTTGTGGCACACCTCGAACGCCTGTCCGACGGTCCGCACCACTCGCATCGCCTGGCTCTGGAACAGATGGCGGAGGTCAGAACATGCAGCACTGGGGGAGAGTGAAGGAGGGAGTGGGGGGGGGGGGGGTACATTGTGGGGGGGAGGGGGGGTGAAATAAAACTATTCTGAGAGGAAATGAAGGAAAGTAGAAGAATAGTAATCTGGAAGAAACAATGGGAAAGTGAGTGTAGTACTCTGATAGGAATTTTGGGAAATTTATAGAAAACTGTATGGAACTGGGAGAAATTGAAAAATATAATATGGAGTTCAAGTTTAGGTATGCAACAAATAAGGGTAGGATAAAACACGAGGAAGTGTGCAAAATGGTTTGAGAAGAAAAAGTACGATTTTAACGGAGAGAAAAGTGGTAAGGATTTTAATTTTTAAATGCTACGAGCTGAGACATTTCTCAGCAGCAGTTTTGCTTTTGTGCGTACAATAGAACCTCGATAACAGGTTTCTCAATGTGATTATTAAATAAGACTTGATATCAAGGTTGACTTCCTTTACAGGTTTGCAATAAAAATTGATTGGGCAATAAAGTTTGTAATATAGAATCAAGGGTGTATTTTAAATTAACTCATCTTATAAAGGGCAACTTGTTATCGAGGTTCCACTTTATTAAATGTGCTAGTAGCAAATAACTGTTTATCTAATTGAGGCTATGAAGAGAGGTCTCAGTCGTCATTAGACTCATGGTGCCCTGGGGAACTGGACTGAGGACCAGTAGAATTGAAATGAATTATTGTAGCCAGAACTGCGGAATCGACGAACTATCTGTAGGCCTACTTGAATGTGTCGAAAATAATATTCTTGGTGAGTAACAACAATCGGTGGTATACAAAGGTTTTAAAATAGTTAACCTTTCATAGTTTCTAGGGAAGATTAGGTTTATTGTATATCAAAAAATCAACATAAAAAATGAACATAATGTCGAAGGATAGCTATTTTAATTTTTGTTTATGAACTTTTTCATACGCTAATTGTATTGACAGCACTACGTTTAAGAAAGTTAGACAATTCCGTTTTCAAGTGACTAACTATTATTCTAAATTTAACTAACTACCTTATCTAACCTAATCACCGAGTGAGTAAACGGGGGGATTTACAAAGGTGCAGTCGAAGCACTTAGCGTATGAAAAGTCCATAAATTAACATTAATTTGAAGTTAGGTACAGATGATTTTTACGAACACATAAGCAATCTCGTGCAAAACCTAAGAAATTGCCGTCTAATCCATCCTTTGGTGATAACACGAATACATTTACTACACTGCTAAAAGTCCTGTAAAACGTTTTAAACAGACAATATTAAATATTTTATTTTCATTATGGGAAACAATTGATTTTAGTTACCATAACAACCCATTATACCACCAATAATAAACACCCATTTCATTACGGCATAAGATCGGAGAAGCAATTAGTCATGATTAAACTGAACTAAATTAATCCTACAGTAGCTGAGCCGTATTAATGATATGTTGGGTTCCACAGGCTTACTCTCGCAGTAATTTAATTATTGCTGTACCCTTCTTGTTTATTTTGGGAACACTAATATACGAGGAATTTAATTGAAACCGTACCGTTTAATTATCGTGTATAAATAGGTATGCGGAATTTTAAATAACACAGGTATATTTTACAGTTACAATTCGAGTAGGAATATTTTGCTTATGTTAATTAAATATGTTTTCAGAATTTTTTTATTTTAATATTTGTATTATACTGTCTTCGTGAAAGTTAGGTTGATTTGATAGAAAATATCATAATTATAATTTATAATAAATAATTAACCTTCTTAATCATTGAAGGTGAAGAAGACCTAAGTGCTAATAACAAGAATTATAATAATTATACCGCTTTAATTAGTTCAAGAAATACTAGAAGAAGAACTAAATTAGTATTTAATGATATTAAATGTCATAGGATACACTTATGACTATTTGTAAACTAAAATTAAACTGTGACAACATCCAAATTCCAAAATCCAAATAGGCATACGTCTCATACAAATACAATATATTCTGCTTACCTTGAAAAAAAAAAACAAAAAAAACAAAAAACAGTTAGCTGTGGAAAATAGGGAAATGGTTGCAACCATTTGTGATGTTTGAAAAGTTGTAAACGAAGAGTTAATGTTTGGATAAGTAAATAAGTAGGGTGGAGTTAGATATGTAATTTCCATTTGATTTTAATTAGGGTTGGAAATGCTCAATTGCTTATCATAATTTATTTAACATTGTGGTACGATTGGAATTTTCATAGGTGTAACTTAATTTTCAAAAATGGGACTTTATGATGAATCAATGTCCTTTAAAATCAGTTTATAGTTTGGCCTCAATACTTTTTCATTTTTTTTTTACTCCAATAAAATATAAATTTATATTTAACCAAACAATTTTGATCACACCAACTGATATAAATGTGTTTATTATTTATTTTCAATTTACCTCACCTTAACTCGGGTAATAGGTAAATGGAAGGAGAATTTCGGAAAAATAACACTGTAACGGAGAATACAGCATTAGAGTAATAGGATTAAACTCTGGGGATGAAAAGAAGTATCGTTACAGTGTTTGACTTAATCTCCAACAAACTTGCTATTGTTAGGGCTGTGGAACACCTAAAACTTATTTCCAAGAAATATATTCAATTGTAAAAATATTGTAAGATAAAACATGTTTTATATATTTGATAATCGGATTGGTTTTATTTACTCCTAAAAATCTTTATACTCTATAATGGACGTGGGAATAATAATTTAATATCAATAAACCGTATAATAAACCTGTATTCAACGAAAATATTATTTTCGTAAAAATATAGCTATTTTGTGAATAAAACTACTATATTGCAATAAACTGAATTTGTTTCTTTTAGATCTACAACTTGAAGAGTGATTTACGTTACTCGATAAGATTACTGTTATAAGAAATAGCCTATTTTCACTAGTAATTTCATAATAAGAATAGATAGTAAGCCATTACAAATTTGCAACCATATGTCTGAAGTACGAGATTAAAAGAGCACTTAAAATATGGTCGAGAATATATACAGACCCACTATATACTATTTTTTACTATTTTACTATTTTATAACATTTTTTAAGTACCAGACTTAAATGCGGTAATTCACAGTTGACACATACTATTTCTAAAACAAACCTCAAACATTGGCATTGGTACCACCTGACTGCTTTGGTTAAATGACACATTTTTGAACGATTTTTTCTTGGAAAAGGTTTTAATAGTGGTTGAGCAAAGATTAATAAAAACAAGTAACATTTGCTTGCAAGTTTTCCAAATACAAACAGGGAAGATATGTTTCCATTGATAATGCTTTATTACTTACTTTAATACTTTTTGCAGTAAAAAATACATAAAAAACATATACACGTACTATAAGTACGTTAATATCCTGTGTAGCTGGAAAGAGATTGTGTTTCTTATCCGTTGTCCTATAAATTATAAATTAATTATAACCAAATCAAAAAAGATGTTTACAACTACTTTGCTTTGATCGAAAAGCTCACTATAAAATGACAACACATAAGGTAAAAACATTTGTTCAACGTTAACGTATTAAGTAGGCCAAATATAAACATATTGTAGTTGTTCGCCGTAGAATTTGTGATGCTAATTCAAGCACAGTGTAATAAAAAATTAGGATTCACAAACAATAGTCATAACAAGGAAATGTTGACATGAGGTAAGAGGTAAGTAAGACAAACGTTTGGGGTTGAGAGAATTTACACAAAACAAGTTAAGCTTTACAAATGAGCCGCTTTGTGAATGACCAAAAAGTTAACCTAAAGAGACAACTGCCTGAGTAAGACCATTATTGTATACTGGTTTTAAATTATAAACATAGCATAAATGATATTTTATACAATATGCAGTACAACTAAATAATGAATCCGTGTGTCATGTAATAAGTTATTATGATGAAAGAAAAAAATCCTGAGTGAATGCACAGTCATTCTTAATTCACAAACAGCTTTTGTTTATCTTGAATTGAACTTTTGCTAAAAACATTTTACAAACATATTCCATCCAATCTTATTCAACATAGCCGAGTAACCAATTGTAATCGCATTTACCTCATCAAATAGAACCCCAACGATATTGTAATTCTCTTTTTGAATTTTAAGCATGATAGAAAGAACAAGAATAGAACAGCGGTTTGCAAATTTAATAAGACAGGAAGAATAGTTGTGTTTTCAGAGAAGCGAGACTAGTGTTTGGCGTTGGTCCAGAGCTTAGTAACGAGGTTGACTGATAAAATGGTCAAGTGGATACGGTCACTCACTTGTGTGGTTTGATTGTTGGAAACACGTCTGCGTGTGTATCTTCTATCTATATACTTAAAACAAGGGGTTTTTTTCTGTAACACCCTTTTTAAGACAACTTACTTAGCCGAAGTTTAAGATTGAGGCTTTACTTCAAAGCTTATGATTTGGCACACCTGCGAATAGGTTAAAAAGGGCAATTTCCTTTGATTCTATGGTGGTTGATTTTTTTAAGTTTGCTTGAAGATTTAATGATGCTGACCAACTTTCTTTATAATCTTTTAAATGTAAACAGCTGATCTTTCAGTTGAATATTTAAACTACAGTCAGATTTAACAACAGAATGTTTATGAAAATGGTATTTTTTTGAAAACTACTGTGAAATTAACTGTTTTCGCTGAAATTCAATATGGTTATCACCTGCAAATATTCATCATTACATTGTTTACTACACATAAGTAACGTTTATTTTTTTGGAGTTCTCGAACAAAAACTAACAAACATTTGTTGTTGTTTCAAAAACCAAAAACCAATTAAAACAAATCAATAAGTAGTTGTACGATAATTCTTACATTTAATTTGGAAAATTTACAAGATCAGTTTGTTAAATATAAAATTGTGTAGTAAATATAAAATACGTTTAAATGCCACTATTTTGTTCTTTCTTTAGAAAAATGAACTAGAATAAATCACAACTCACATTCGAATGATCAAAGTTAGCAAAA